GACGGGAGAGCCGCCCCCCCCCCCCCCCAAGTCCATGGGGCTCCCGGCAGACCCGGGCGGGCGTGGCCTTGGGCCCTTCCCCCATCTGGTGACTCTCCCCCTGCCCCCACAGAGCACGATAAACCAGACCCCAGTGACGCTGCAGGTGCCCGGGCTGATGAGCTCGCAGGTGCAGATGGGCGGGCACCCCACCGAGGTGCTGTGCCTCATGAACATGGTGCTGCCCGAGGAGCTGCTGGACGACGAGGAGTACGAGGAGATCGTGGAGGACGTGCGGGACGAGTGCAGCAAGTACGGGGTGGTCAAGTCCATCGAGATATAAACCAGACCCCAGTGACGCTGCAGGTGCCCGGGCTGATGAGCTCGCAGGTGCAGATGGGCGGGCACCCCACCGAGGTGCTGTGCCTCATGAACATGGTGCTGCCCGAGGAGCTGCTGGACGACGAGGAGTACGAGGAGATCGTGGAGGACGTGCGGGACGAGTGCAGCAAGTACGGGGTGGTCAAGTCCATCGAGATCTAAACCAGACCCCAGTGACGCTGCAGGTGCCCGGGCTGATGAGCTCGCAGGTGCAGATGGGCGGGCACCCCACCGAGGTGCTGTGCCTCATGAACATGGTGCTGCCCGAGGAGCTGCTGGACGACGAGGAGTACGAGGAGATCGTGGAGGACGTGCGGGACGAGTGCAGCAAGTACGGGGTGGTCAAGTCCATCGAGATCCCCCGGAATGTCTGGGTGTACTCCCTGGCACTCGTAGGGGAGATGGGGCTAGTGGTTGGGGGGGCTGGGAGCCTGGACTCCTGGGTCTGTGCCCAGCTCTGGTAGGGGAGTGAGGGCTAGGGGTTAGTGAGGGAGCCAGGACTTCTGGGTTTTATGGCTGGGTCTGGGAGGGGGGGGGGGGGGTGGCGGGTGGTTTTATGGCTGGCTCTGGTAGGGGAGTGAGGGCTAGCGGTTAGTGAGGGAGCCAGGACTTCTGGGTTTTATGGCTGGGGCCGGGGGGGGGGGGGGGGGGTGCGGGGGGGGGGGGGGGGGGGGGCGAGGCAGGGTCTGGCTGGAGACAGCCCAGAGCGGTGGAAGTGCGCGACTCCTGGGCACAGCCGGGGGCGGGGAGGGCTCTGGGGCGGGTGTGTGGGACGCACCCTGGTCTGGGTGCCCGGCTGAGGCCCTCGCCCCTTCTCCCCCAGATCTTCGTGGAGTTCACCTCAGTCTTCGACTGCCAGAAGGCCATGCAAGGCCTCACGGGCCGCAAGTTCGCCAACAGAGTGGTGGTCACCAAGTACTGCGACCCCGACTCCTACCACCGCCGCGACTTCTGGTAGCCGCCGGGCCAGGGGCAGCGCCCGCGGCCGTCGCCTCCCTCCCGGCCTCTTTGGATTTTTTGGCCAAAATGGTTTTTTTTTCAATTGTTTTCACCCTCGGCCCCCCCAAAGAAGGAAAATCTCCCCCTCCCCTTTTCCTCCTGGCCCCCAGCGGCCTCTGCCAGCGGCTGCCAGAGCTGGCTAATCCGTAGTAGAGACGTGTCCTCTCTGTGCATATTGGCTGAGAAGGCTCCTTGTCCCTGCCCCCTGCCTGGATTTTTTGGCCAAAATGGTTTTTTTTTCAATTGTTTTCACCCTCGGCCCCCCCAAAGAAGGAAAATCTCCCCCTCCCCTTTTCCTCCTGGCCCCCAGCGGCCTCTGCCAGCGGCTGCCAGAGCTGGCTAATCCGTAGTAGAGACGTGTCCTCTCTGTGCATATTGGCTGAGAAGGCTCCTTGTCCCTGCCCCCTGCCTGTTCTGTTGTCCCCCTCGGTGTGTGTAAGGAGTGTTCTTCCCTCGCCCCTTTTCTTTCCCCTCCTAATTAAACATTTTTTCCAGTCCCTTGGGGGTCCGTCCAGCAGCTTCTGTGTCTGTCTCCGGGCAGGGAGGGCCTCCGGGTGCCAGCCTGAACGCAGGGTGTGAATCCCTGGGGGTAGGGGGGCTTTCAGGGATGGGCGGTGCGGGCATCGGCAGGCCCTGTTGTCCTAGCCACCAGGAGCGGGGCCACCCCCAGGCACAAAGTGGGAGAAATGCTGGCTGCTGAGACAGCCAATCAGAGATGAGGCAGGCCAGGCAGGCCAGATGGATGGGGAAACTGAGGCCCCAGAGGGCTGGGGAGAGAATCCAGGTGCCTGGTGCACCTGCCCGCTGGGTCAGACTTTGTCTCCAGCAGGTGTTCTGCTCCTTGTCTCGCGGGGCAGCTTGCTATATTTGGCGTGGCTGTAGCAGGTTGCTGACCCCACCGGAGTGGGTGCAGCAGGGCTCTGGGTCCCAGTGTGGCTGGTCCCCTCCATTTCCTGCAGCGGGGGGAGAGGAAAGTGGTGTCCCCCTGTTACAGCTGGGGGAAACCGAGGCACGGGGTGATACATAGAAGACAGCCCCTCCTGTGGGTTCTTCCTCCCCCGGCTGGGCTGCGTTTGGCAGAAGCGTCTCTTCCGGCCGCGTTGGGGACTGCAAGAGACAAAGCAGTGGCTGCTTCCTCGCCTCTTCTGCTCAGTGGCCCGTCAGCTGCCCTGCCCCCACCCCCAGGGGGCCGGGGCCTGGCTGGGGGC